GCAGAATATATATATATATATATATATATATAAATTAAGTAAAATTTAATGTCATTTAATTCTTTTGTCTGTTTACAGCCTGAAACAGGAATTGCAGAGATGACACAGCTAAGAGGGACAAGGATGAAAAAAGTAGAGAGGAAAAGTAGTAAAGGAGGAACTCCAACACAAGAGACAACAGGTAAATAAACCTATTAAACTTGATGCAATAAGTCAATTTTTTAATTAAAAGCTATTTGTCAACGTCATTGGCAGATATTGTTTTTTTGTTTTTTATCTGCGTTTTTCAAAGCTCACATCAGAGGTGCCAAAGGAATGATGTGTGACACTGGGCCACAGTCAGATAATCGAGAGAATTTGTGTACCTCTGCTGTGGGGTCAAGGGTCACAGAGACAGCACCTGCCAGACATCGCTGGAGTAACCCCACTGAAACAGCCTTAAACTGGGTACCAGCCTACAACACCCGTCTACCTCCCTGCAATGAATATCGAGTGCACATCTGTGACTGCACTACATCCAGAATCCAAGGTCAAGGAGATAAAATCAATGTTCAAAACACAAAGAAAGACTCCTTGCCCAAAGGAGTGTTGCGTTCCAGCACCAGTGTAGATTTCTGTGCCTCCAATGTAAGTCATTTTTGATATATACTATCATTCAAAATTCGGGGTCGTGAGTTTTTTTAAATGTTGTTGAAAGAAGTCTCTTAGGTTGCATTTATTTGATCAAAAATACAATAAAACAGTAATTCCTTGAAATATTATCACAATTTGAAAAAACAGCTTTCTGTTTTAATACATTTTAATATGTTATTTATTTCTGTGGTGGCAAAGTTGAATTTTCAGCAGCCATTACTCAGACTTCAGTGTCACGATTCTTCATAAATCATTCTAATATGCTGATTTGGTGCTCAAGAAACCCAATTATTTCACATTATTCTGCTTGTATAAATTAAATTTCTATATATAGTAAATACACAAACCATCCAAGCTTCTTAATTCATGTGATATAAATTCAAGCTGTTAACCTCCTATCAAGCACTGAATGCATGTTATTATATAAGACTCTTGAAAATCGTCCTGTCATGCCAACCAGTGATATTTTCACACACTTCAGAGTGATGACCTCTAGTGTTTTCGGAAGGTATATAGAGACAATGTAAATTGATAATCTTTTCCTGTTTCCTGGTTTCTTGATATGTATCATCTTTCTAGCACTGAGTATGTGTGAACAACTGCACTGTATCACTCTCTCAGATAATGTGGAGCTCTCGTAAAAGGTTAGGAAGGGCTGTTTGTTTTCAATAGCTTGTAGTGCTTGAAGAAATAAATTATAATGCTGTAATCCTGGATTTGGATTTTGCTATGGCCGACTGCACACAGCTGGATTAGGCTGCAACTGTCTGTAAGGTTTTCTTGAACACTATTGGTCAGTTCATGCCTCTTACAGCAATCCGTATTTTTAAGTAAGTCTTTCTTCAATGAAATCAGAAGTGTTTAATTTTTTGTGCCTCTCGCGATGCAAAATGTAATTGCAAAAATTATTATTATTTTCAAACAGGTTAAACTCATAGTTTTCTATATGTATATAAAGGTAAGATTTTAATTCTTTACATACTGTATAAAGAGCCAATGACCAACATGCTTTGCATATGCAAAATACATAAGACAGATGTGCAGATAAAACTCGTCATTGTGCAGTTTTGCAAAAAAATCCTAACTGTAAAGTTGTGAAAGTAGACAGGAAGTGTTTCAAAAGCATGGGTCCACTTCCTTGCGTGCAGTGGAGCTACTTCCCCTATACAGAGACCAGATTTTGCAATTTGGGCAAAAGACAAAAGGAACATTGATTAATAAGCTTTCACTTGAGTATATTTATAGTTTTTCCTATAATGTGAAATTATGAACATGATATTAATCATTAAAGTTATATGAAAAAACGGTGGAAGCACAGATTCTTGCATCTATTCCACAAGCTGAGGGCCTTCATGAAACCAATATGATGCAAGGAGGCTTCGATTATGTAAAAAGCACCTCTATGGAAATTCTGTGCCACAGAGTCCCACTTACTGAATTTGTGTTACTCGAAATGACTGTGAAGTGGTGAACCACAAAATGCAGACTCAAGCATTTAGTGTTTTTCCCCTGTAGAACTGATGCCTTGATAATAGACAGAGTGCGCATTGGCTCACATCCTGTGTGATTTAAGGAAGTTCTTGTAATCAATCGGTTGTTCTACTAAAGCGTTGCATTTTTACACTTGTGGAGCTGAGAGGTAAAACCGCTAGTTTCAGATTAGACTTTCATTTTAAGGAAAAACTGTACGCACACGTCAAGGCGATGCTTCAAAGGGCTGCTTCAAATGCATCAGACAAACCAAAAAGTCTTAAACCTAAGGTAGGTTTTATTAATGTATCTTAATATTTCAGGTAATAATTTGAAGATGTTATTCAAGCATTTCAGATATATTAGGTTAGAATGGATGTGTCATGCATTGCTGCCATATCCCAGTAGATCTTACGTTGGAAAATGAACCAAAAAAAATTGACATTTCTAAGAACAATGTAACAAAAAGAAAACAGCTTGACACCACACAGCATTACTGAATAAGTATGAACAGCTTCGTCAGGTCAAATTATGATACCACAGTTTGCTATTTGATTGAGATTACATGGATTTTAAATTTAGATAATTATTTCCATTTTCCTGTGGAAGAGCTGACAGGTTTTGAGCAGATTACGAATCATTCAGTGTTTTTATCAAATTGAACACACTAAAACGATGAGACGTCAAGTGCCGTTCAATGTACTGAAGTGCTTTATAACAAGGACAGTATAATGACACTTTTTGTTTTATGCAAAGTAATTTACATGTACATGTAGCATGTGCCTTGATGTTATATCAGTTATAAATGTGGTTGGTTTTATTTACCTGACACAGCGATCCACCAGTTTTGGAAGATTTGACACATTCAGAAATCAACACTCCCCTTCCAAACTTGAGGAAAATGGAGCACCTGAGGTAAGAAGAATTTGCATGAATAAGACACTTATTAATCTGAGAGTTTATGCCCCAATATGATACAATGTTTCCTCATAAAATATTTTTCACTGCAAACCAGCAGCCTATTTAACCTATAATTGTCTAACTGACCACTGGGTGGAGTTTTTATATAGCAGAAAACTGTGAGAAACCGGGAAGTCTGGGGAAAAAGATGAAAGCCATCTCGATGACTATGCGTAAAAGGATGGCCAAGAAACACGTCAAATCCTTCTCTGAGGACATGGTGAGTCACAATGCAAGTTCCTCATTTGATTACTGACACTGATTAGGCAACTCAGTTCTTTATTCCCCAAAATATCAGCAGTTCATCAGACAGTACAGGGAGACTGGGGCTTGGTTGGCACATTTAATGAAATATTAAATATGTATGTAAATATTAAGGGGGTTGTATTATTCCCTTTGTTGGTTGTTACTATCCTGACATGTTTTTTTAATTATATATATAAAACAAAAATTATATATATATATTCAGATCTGCTATTAATTAATTTTTATATTAATTATTGTATGATATCTTCAATGCGTAAAAGTCTATATCAATATATGCTGGTTTTCATCTCTGTTAACTAACATTTATATATTTTATAATTTAAAATAAAAAAATAAAAAAGTGCAAAGCTGCACAGAAGGTAAATGGTACATATAAAGGTACACATTAGTACCTAAAATGTGTATTCTTTTTTTTGTTTGTTTATTTTTTTAAAGAGTACTGCTCCAGTGACAGTTTTGTGCCTTTTTTCTGAGAGTGTACCTTATGACCCACAAAACCAACCAACCCCAGTTCGTATGAATATCCAGACTGATATTTTGATTGGTGCAGGGTGATGACACTGAGGGAGAAACAGAGAATGGGTCTCCAGCAGAGAAGAGCTCAGACCACACCAGCAACTCATTAGAAAGCCTCTACAGTGGACAGAGCTTGTCCAGTAAGTATCTACACACATGCGACTGAAGTGGAAAGTGTTTTGACATTGTAATTATACTCTTTTTGTTTATATTTATTGGCTCAGGTGGTGTTGCTAGCAGTTCAGATGTATCCAGTAACAGAGACAGCCTGAAACTGGAGGAGGAAGTGCCCTACACGGGGCAGTTCTGCGGGCGAGCCAAAGTACATACAGACTTTGTCCCTAGTCCATATGATACAGACTCCCTCAAACTGAAGGTGAAATACAAATTGTGATGTTTTTATTCAAGCTTGCATCCAGTTGAATTAATCATCACAATTTTAAAAGGGAAACATTAACTGCCAACAGTAAGTTAATGGTGTTGGTGATCTTTTTCAGGTGGGAGACATCATCAACATCATAAGTAAACCACCTATGGGCATATGGACAGGAATGCTTAATAATAAAGTGGGAAATTTCAAGTTTATTTATGTGGATGTTCTGCCTGAGAAAGAGAAGGAAGAAGAAGAGGAGACTCCAAAAATAAGACCTGTGAAAGTATGCAAGAAGCCACGACCAAATACACTCCTGGAGTTATTAGAAAGACTTCATTTAGAGGTATAACCAGACAGGACACACATGTGTATCCATGTACACACGTAGAAACATCACTTATCCTTCATGCCCCACCTGCTTAATGCTGCAAAATCCACCAGAAAACTATCCACAAGTTTTAATGTCACTATCTTCACCTCACACTGATTGGCTGCCAACAGTGTTTTCATTGTTAACCAAAATAAAACTATTAAAAACTATTTTCTGTAACTGAAAAAAAAGCTGAAATAAAATAAAATATAAATACTAGATGAAAAACATAGAAACATTTTTTTTTTAGAAATGTTACCTTGTAAACTTACTGAAATAAATAATTTTAAGTTAAAGTATTAAAATAATATAAATATAACAATATTAATAGTAATATATAATACAATATAAATAGGTTAATAAAATAATATAAATAATAATAGCTTTATAATTAATTTTTTATAAAAATGACAAACACTTAAAAACATACAACAAATAGAAAATGAATAGAAAAGTGACTGTAAATTCAAAAAATAATGCTATAATAGTATATAAATAGTAAATAAATAAATAAATAAACACTCAGTTCCCTAGAAAATGAATTAAAAACGCCCACTCACAACCACACTAGTGGACATATATGATTCAGTACAAGTGCAAGATAATTTCCCTAAAATTTCCATTAAAAATGTCCATAAATTTGACTTTGACCGGATAGCTTATAGCTGTATTGCTCATTTTAATGTTTGAAATCTCTTTTGTCACAGGAATATGCATCTTCATTACTCCTCAATGGCTACCAGACAGTAGATGATCTCAAACATCTGAAAGAGAGGCATTTGATTGAGCTGAATGTGACTGATCCAGAGCACAGACGCAAGTTGCTTGCTGCATCAGACTGCCTCTATGTCACAAGCAGTGAGTATCAATACAAGCAATTTGATTGGCGAAACTATATTTTGGTTTTCTCTGTGTCCATCTCAGGAAACCTTATGTCAGCAAGCCTCAGGAAGGACATAGATACTGCTATCTTTGCATCGTCTATTTTTGTGTTTGGATGAAATTCTGCCTTTTTGAAATACTAGAGTTAGACTGCGAGTCCAGTTTTACTGAAAGTCACAACCTTATTTGTTTTAATTTAATATATAACGCTTTGTGCAGTCAGGAACAGCCTTTTCCTGTAAATGCAGGTCAGGATTAATTGGCGTTTGGATGTGGGCTCACTGTGTGAGCAGGTGGCACATGGCTGGGCTGCTCTGGCTGATATGAGTGTGGGATAATAACCAGGAAGACATACTGTCATTTAATTAACATTAATTTCATTTGGGTTTTTGCGCAAATGCAACCCTGATTTGTTCGGCAGAGATGAAATTAACGAGCAGGAGTTTGTATGAGAGATTTAACCTTTCTTTGCTTTGGCTTACAGAAGACGAAGAGGGAGCGATGAAGGGCAATGAGGAGGAAGACGAAGATAATGACTGTCCCAGAGACTCGGGTTGTTTTATTCCTGCAGAGTGTCCTGACAGCTGAGCGTTATCTAATGTCTCTCTCCTGGTATAATTTAATGTTAAAGCTACAAACAGACACAGTTTAACTCTGTTAATATATTTTCTTTTGTCACAATGTGTGTTCGTCTTTCATTTGAATGTACTTGTGTTTTGTATACTGAAAGTCACAACCTTATTTGTTTTAATTTAATATATAACGCTCTGTGCAGTCAGGAACAGCCTTTTTCTGTAAATGCAGGTCAGGATTAATTGGCGTTTGGATGTGGGCTCACTGTGTGAGCAGGTGGCACATGGCTGGGCTGCTCTGGCTGATATGAGTGTGGGATAATAACCAGGAAGACATACTGTCATTTAATTAACATTAATTTCATTTGGGTTTTTGCACAAACGCAAACCTGATTTGTTCGGCAGAGATTAAATTAACGAGCAGGAATTTGTATGAGAGTTTTAACCTTTCTTTGCTTTACTTACAGAAGACGAAGAGGGAGAGATGAAGGGCGATGAAGACGAAGATAATGACTGTCCCAGAGACTCGGGTTGTTTTATCCCTGCAGAGTGTCCTGACAGCTGAGCGTTATCTAATGTCTCTCTCCTGGTATAATTTAATGTTAAAGCTACAAACAGACACAGTTTAACTCTGTTAATATATTTTCTTTTGTCACAATGTGTGTTCGTCTTTCATTTGAATGTACTTGTGTTTTGTATTTACACATTTTTTGTTCAGCTTTGTGTTAAAGTAACCTAATAACCTATTTCTGTTAATGTAGATGTTATGTGAAATTCCATGGCAACATACTTATGTGTGAGGAATTTTACAGCTTTGTTTATCAAAACAAAGCTTACAAATGTTTATCATAACTGAAATGTATATAATGTTATTAAAAATAAATTATTTATTCTGCAGTTTTCTTTTCTTCCTCATTTTGCTGTGTTTGAACACATTGCTACTGCTGCTAAAATTCATATTATTAACTTTCCATTTGTTTCTCAAAATAACTATTTGGTTTGGGTGGGCGTTTGGTGGGATGAGGTTCCAGATGACTAGTCACGTGCGATGAGTGATAAGGAGGTATCGTTTCAAAGCACTTTCCTGTTTCCATCCTACCTGAATTAATGCTTAATACGCAACTCCCCTCTCTGAATAATATGCTAATATATATTGGCAATGCCAATGACTAATATTTACTGATATAATCTTGATTCCACCTAAATATGTGTTTATTTTTGGGAAGAAAAAAAAAAAGTTATTTGAAACTAGGCACCTAAGTTTGTCAGTTGTAAAAAAAAATAATAATAAAAAAATAAAAAGTTTTCATACATATTTATGATAAATTTTACTAAGGTCTTGTGGCAGGAAATATATATGTTATATATATGTTTGTGACCACATTTATTTATTTGACTTCTCTGCTTGGGAAAAAAAACTCAGAACATATGCATATGATGAAAGAGTGGAAAAATATTTTTACTTGATTAATAATAATTAATACTACTACATAATTCATAAATGCAGGTTTGCAAAAAAATATTACAAATTTTGATATTGGATTTCAAATATATTATTATTATTATTATTATTATTTGTTTGTCTGTGCCATGCATACTGTCTTGCGCACTTATAATGCTGAATTTCTGTAAAGTCTTCGGTTCCCTCTCATAGGCTCACTTCCATGCTGCGATGACGTCATCGTTTAGGGAACACCTTCGGTGTGAGGAATGTCTGAAGCCCTATACCATCACGCCAATTCATTGGCCAAATAGCGCTTAGCACCGCCCCCAGTGTGCAAGTAGGTGAGCTATATCAGCGTGCTGCGCGCTATTTTCACCACATTTCATTTCCTTCAGGAAGCGAATCATCTGTCGCCCGTAGGAAAGCGTTCTTTTTGTCGTGTTCTTAGCTAATTCCTTCGAAAGAGCAGTTTACTCCTCTTCAGCGGACACAATGAGCTACAGGAGATGCATCGAGCTGTGTGACAGGTTTATCGCAGGAGGAGACACTCATGACAGGTGCGTGCAATGTTTGGGCCTACAACACGCCCAAGCGGCGCTTAGCGGCCTTTCTGATTGTCGACACTGTGATAGCCTACGGCTAAAAGCACTGCGCTCGAGGTTCGCGGCCTTCTCAAATAAAGTAGGCCTCGCGTCTAACCCCCGCTATCCCGTTTCTGCGGTTGCCGAGGCGCCGCACGAGACGGTCGCATGGGGTGACGCATGCGAGCCGAGGCGCTTAGAGGGTGAGTCAACAGAGTTCTCTCCTTTTCTCTCGCTCTCTCCAAGCCATGTGCAAGCGCTCGAGGAGCGCTACGGGGATCCCGTGGTCTTTGTCAATGATAATTTGCGGCCTACCCCGGAAGCTCGCGATGCGATGTCTTTCGGTTGTATGCCGTATGACGAAGACGTGCTGTCCACAGCGGCCTCCGATTCGGAGGATTTATTGGGCGAACTGTGCAGTTCTCTCCCTCCGAGTGGACAGGAGAAACGCACATTGGTTTGTGACCATCGATCTAAAGGATGCATACTTTCACATCCAGATCGTCAAGAGGCACAGGAAGTTCCTCAGGTTTGCTTTCGAGGGCAAAGCATACCAATACTGTGTTCTTCCGTTCGGACTAGCTTTGGCTCCTCGAACGTTTACAAAATGTATGGACGCAGCTCTGGCCCCGTTGCGGCTCCAGGTCGTCCGAATTTTGATCTACCTGGACGATTGGCTAATATTAGCTCAATCTCAGGATCAGGCACGGATACATCGAGATCTGGTACTCGATCATCTGAGGAGCCTAGGGTTACAGACGAACCTTCAAAAGAGTGTCCTGCTGCCGTATCAGCAAACGACCTTTTTGGGGGTGGACTTGGACTCTTGCACGATGCGGGCACGGCTGTCTCACGCACGTGTGCAGTCAATACAGACCTGTCTAGGTCAGTTCAAGACAGGGCGCCGAGTACACGTAGGCTTGTGTCTCAGGCTGTTGGGTCTGATGGCGGCAGCGTCCCCTGTAGTTCAGTTGGGCCTGCTCCACATGCGACCGTTTCAGTGGTGGACCAAGAGCCAGAACATTTCACATCACTGTCATCCGCTTCACAGAATTACGGTGACACGCAAGGGCTTTTGTACTCTAAGCCTGTGGATGAGACCCCAGTTCCTTCAGGAGGGAGTCCAGATGGGGACGTTGTATCGCCGCAAGACGGTCACTACGGACACGTCCCTTACGGGCTGGGGAGTGGTCCATCAAGGATGTCCAGTCAGTGGAGTTTGGACAGAGGTACATCGTGGCTGGCACATAAATCGTTTGGAGATGCTTGCGGTTCTCCTGGCTCTCAAACAGTTCTTACCCCATTTGAGGGGTTATCACGTGTTAGTCAGGACGGACAACATGGCAGTTGTGTCGTACCTCAATCGTCAAGGAGGATTACGTTCTCGCCCCCTGTGCAGGCTGGCGAGGCGTGTTCTTCTCTGGGCTCAGACAAAGTTCCTGTCGATCAGAGCAGTCCATATCCCAGGTCGCCTGAACTCAGGAGCGGATCTGCTCTCGAGACAGAGTCAGATGTAATGTCTTATTTAGACTTGTGTGACCCAGTCTTAACCTTGAATAAGTGGAACTACTCTTGTTAACTACATTTCCCAGATGCACTGTAAAGCGCAAGTGGACTTCTGCACAACTTCCTGTTATCTTTTTTAGTTTTGAAACATCTCGGTTACGTATGTAACCTTGGTTCCCTGAATAGGGGAACGAGATGCTGCGATGACGTCATCGCTTTAGGGCACACCTTCGGTGTGGAACGGCCCAGCATCGCAGCATCTCGTTCCCCTATTCAGGGAACCAAGGTTACATACGTAACCGAGATGTTCCTTCTCATAGGCTCACTTCGATGCTGCGATGACGTCATCGCTTTGGGAACGCTATACCATAACGCCTGACGTACCTTATAGAAATAGAACTGACGTATCTGGCATGAAAGTCCCAAATAACTGACTGTACATAAATAACTATATCAGACAGACATATAGTTATATTGTCCAGCTTGAGGCAAAACAGTCAGCCTCAAACATCAACTGATTTTATACGCCATATATAGACACAGCTGGCGTCCGTTCTTTATGCTACAGATGTTACAGCGGCTGTATCTCAAAACCTAGTTAGCTACGTTACCTTTCTGGACAAGCACGTTTGTGTATGGAGCCAGAATGATAATAATTCACGCAAAAGATGCGATGCACACATGCGTAACCCAATTCACATGCATGAGAAATAATTCACATGCACGAAAAAAATATATATATTCACAAAAACCAATTCACATGCACAAAATAAGAATATATATTCATAAAATACGTTTCACAAATGCAAAACACAATTCACAGATGTACAACTGTGTACAAAATTTTTGAATGTTAAAAATTCACGAGTTTATCATGGGCTGTGAATGTGAATGATTGGCTAAAGAATACGCGTGTCCCGCGTGGGAGGAGTTCGCTGCCAGAAAGGTCTCAAAATTCACACACAAATCCAAGGCGATTCACATTCACACAACCCATGATAAACTCGTGAATTTTTAAGATTCAAAAATTTTGTACATATTTGTACATCTGTGAATTGTGTTTTGCATTTGTGAAGCGTATTTTATGAATATATATTCTTATTTTGTGCATGTGAATTGGTTTTTGTGAATATATATATATATATTGTGCATGTTAATTATTTCTCATGCATGTGAATTGGGTTACGCATGTGTGCATCGCGTCTTTTGCGTGAATTATTATTGAGATCATTCTGGCTCCATATTTGTGCATCAATGCACCAGGAATATGGTCTAAATTTGCCTTGTCTTATTTTTCTACATACCACGTTTTTGGACAATATACCATTGTATACTTTGAAATACATGAACAACATATACATATGGTTACCGTTAAGTTCAATGTGTTATATAACGACAGAAACATTTCCTGATTACACCATTTTTTTCTAAGTCAAATATTTTTGTGTGTCCATACAGGTTCTGTCATCCTGGCTTTGTTCCTGGCAGGATATCTGGGACAGCAGTACCTGCCCCCTCCAAAGCCCAGGGTCATTGGGTTGGATCTTGGGACCACTTTCTGCTCTGTGGGAGTGTTTCAGCCTGGCACAGGTGAAATTGAGGTTATTGGAGATGACAAAGGTCACAAAAGCATTCCGAGTGTGGTGTCATTCACCCCCAACGGTGTGTTTTCTGGACATGAGGGTCAGGAACTGTCTGACATAAATCCTCAAAACACAATCTATGATGCCAAGAGATTTATAGGGAAGATTTTCGACCAAGAGACTTTAGATAATGAGAGCGCACGATACCCGTTTAAGGTACACATTTCATATTTTACTCTTTAAATGCTCTTGCACTGCTTGCTGTGTCTCTAACATTTTCTTTAATGTTTTAGGCGATATTCAACAACGGGAGTGCAGAATTTTGAGTCTCTACAAACAGCACCTTCACAGTTACTCCTGAATTCATCGGATCCCGTCTCCTCCTGAAAATGAAAAAGATGGCAGAAAAGCAACTGGGAATACCTATTGACAAAGCTGTCATATCAGTGCCAGCAGAGTTTGATGAGAGGCAAAGAAACTACACCATAAGAGCTGCTAACCTAGCTGGTGAGTTTACTAAGGTGTACATTAATCGCAAAAGCCAGTCATTTAATTAGGAATCCACAATTAGGAAATTTGTCACGAATTCACTGCATTGACCAACAGAAGCTGCTTGGTTTGGAAGTAACTTCTGTGTGAGCTTTCCGTCATACATCTCTATTCTTTTGACAATGGACTTTTTTTATTGTACACAAAATATTATTAAAATTTTGCTAATGTGGCCACAGCTTTAGTCAGTCACAACTTGGTTATGTCTTGCTATTGGAATCTATGGAAGGCACTCAAACAAAAAAATAAAAAAGGTAAATTGCGAGATGTAAACTCAGAATTCTGAGGAAAAACATCAGAGTTGCGAGATATAAACTCAGAATTGCGAGAAATAAGTCAGAATTCTGAGTTTATATCTCGCTATTCTGACCTTTTTTATTTTTGATTGCGTGGTGGAAATGGGCTTCCATAGAAATCAATACAATTAGCCTTGTAAAAGCTGATAACGTTCTGGTTAAAATCTATAATAGTTAACTGATCGATCACTGTGCATGTCTTCTTCATCAGGCCTGGACATCCTGCGGGTGATCAACGAGCCCACGGCGGCGGCAATGGCTTATGGACTGCATAAGGCAGAAGTGTTTAATGTGCTAGTGGTGGATCTGGGAGGAGGAACACTAGATGTGTCACTTCTCAATAAGCAGGGTGACATGTTCCTCACCAGAGCAATGGCAGGTGAGCGGAGTGATATGGCATTATAAATGTGTCAACTAGCAGAGATTTTACTATGGTAGGTATATTTGTGTGGCTATTAATGGGCAGGGCTGCTTTATGTTATTTACATATTTGAGACACATCCTGATCTTTATTTTCCCCATTACTGCAAGTTTGTTTATTAAAGCAAATAGGAAGAAGAAATAATGGGTGTAACATGAAACAATGTAGAAATGTATATGTTTGCCAAGCAGTTTATTTTAAATTACACATTAAAATAGAAACGTTTTTTATAATAATAAATTATTTTGAGTCTTTTGTTTTAATTCCAGGGTTGCAATCTTAATGATTTTTGCACTGATACCACATTCCTTATGAATACTCATACATGCAAACTTATTGTCTTTCTGATATAGGCCATTCACTTGATTTGTGCAGAGAGTCTTTTCCTGTCTTAAGAAAGGTTTCGATGGCATTTTCTTTTCCTCATACTTCCGTATAATGCCGAATACGTTGGTGTTTATAAGTGCTATTTCTGCTTTGCCACAAGCGCCACCTCCTGGCAGACACTGAATTAGCGTTTTCGTTCAGCTCGACTGCCTTTTTGTTCAAACTAATAATACATAAAATACATAATCCTTTACCATTTTGACTCATCCGTTTTTCTGTAAAATGGTTTAAATGCTTAAATGTGAGGTTTATACTTTTATAAAGTGTTTTGCTTTTAATCACAATAATGAATTCCCTTGCCGGTCCTCCTGTCCAACAAAAAAAGAGAAGGGACTCTGCTTTTTGTCTTCGTCGGTCTTTCTGTCTTGTGGCTTCAGATATTTTCTGCTTCTTCAGCGGTACAAGTACCAATTCTCCCATAGTCTTTGCTGGTAAAGCACGTGTTCAGTTGTCTAATTTTGGCGCGTCGGATCCCCAAGCAACACTACGCTTTGGGTGAAACAGCACGGGTCACGTCATTTCTTCATGGTGAAAGACACTGAAAGGAAGCAACCCACACCATACATAATTTTTAAAAAAAATTTCACCTGGGTGTAAATTATTCAAATGACTCTCCACACTACTGCATGCACCTTAAAAATATAAAACAATTTATATATTAATTTATAATATATTAAAAATATATTATATACATTTTCCATTAAATGTAATACCGATTTAAATTGTCATAATACATTATATTAAAATATAAATGTCATGGTAACCTTCTGTAGTTTTTCTAGTTCAGTTCTAGTTTTTTTTTTATGGAATTTTTTTTTTTTTTACAAATCCTTATCCAGTCATCACAAATGATTAGAAAATTCATAGAAAATCATTTAAATTCATTGTTTAGAAAAAGTAGGGACCCTGGTTATGACCTTTTGTATTTTAATACACATGCCATGTTTTTCCCCAGGCTCTGTGGTTTGACCTCAATGGGTATTTAGGTTACAAGGTTTGGGGTAGTGCAATCTCACCGAAACCTCATGACATTTAGCTAACACATATGGAAATGGTGTCACATCAGGTGCACAACCCTCATCCTGTTTCAGCACGAGATTAACACATGGTCTTCTTCATCTCCACAGGTAATAATAAGCTAGGAGGGCAGGACTTCACCCAGCGTTTGCTGCAGTACACCATCGAGCGAGTGCGGCAGCAGTACGGCGTGCCTCCTACTCTTAAAGAAGACATCCACCTTCTCCGACAGGCCGTGGAGGCCGCCAAGCTCAACCTCACCCAGGAGCCTCACGTTCATCTCCGAGTTCCTCTTCACCTGCAGACAACGGGAGCGAATGGAGCACAGGAGGAAAAAGTCCTGTTTCAGGAGAAGCTGACACGGGAACTCTTTGAGGAGCTGAATGCAGATCTCTTCCAGAAGATTCTGGCACCCATTGAGACAGTCCTCATAGAGGGCCATCTAGAGAAAGAGGAAGTGGATGAAATTGTCCTGGTCGGAGGGTCTACAAGAATCCCTCGCATTAGACAACTCATTAGTCAGTACTTTGGGAAGGAAGCGAACACCTCCGTGGACCCTGACCTGGCCGTGGTGACCGGGGTGGCCATTCAGGCAGGCATCATGGGAGGCTCTTGGCCTCTCCAGGTCAGCGCAATTGAGATTCCCAACAGACATCTTCACAAAACCAACTTCAGCTGATTGGTTGAGAGAGACTGCTACTTGGGCATTTGTCACGTGACTGCTATGTGCCAACAAACCAAAAACCGGTTAAACGATGTGTGTTTTATGTTTTTGCTTCTTTATATGCATTAGCTTTGCAGCGAATTCCTGATTTTGGGCCAAACACAATGGTTACTTGAGCATTTGTACTAATGTCTGGACTTGTTGGCCCAAATTACAATTTGTACATTTATCTTCAGAATAGATGCAGAGTATTTATTTAGTTCTCCATTATAAAAATAGCATTGAGAGAATGTTTTTCTCCTGTTATCTTGAGCAAGTGTCTGCTTGGGACCTTATTGGTTAGTTTATTGCCATCTTTGTGCCTAACTGGTACCAACTGTGCAATAAGTCTGACAACTGGTTTTGGCAGGTTTAATGATGTTGTATTCAGGGAAGCAGCTGTTTGTATATAACTGAATATTTATTTATTTATTTTGCCAAGTCTAGTTGTGATTTCAGCTAGCTGTTTCGGTCTACTGGAGTTTTGCTTGTGCCTTTTTAAGCATTGCCACAGTTAAATGTGTACCGTAGACTAAGCATAGTCTGATTTTTACTTTATTTTTAAAGACTTACTGTCTTTTTTGTGAGTTTTTTTCCTTCTAATAGAGTTAAGTATTAGTAAATGGTAATACCACCTGCCAACTGTTAAAATATAGATCATTTAAAATGGACAGTACCAGCATGACCAGTGTGGTATTAAGTTCATGAAATCTTTTATAAAAATGTGAATTAAAATATATAAACGTTTATTTATATATATATATATATATATATATATATATATTTTGTGTTTAATTTCACATTTATCCGCATATAAAAAAAGTTAAGTATAATTAACCACACAGACCAAAAAAAAAGATGTTAAAGTTTTGTGTTGGCCTGTTTTGTTTACATAATGCTAAAAGCTCAATATTAGAGGTGAAAATACATTATGCAAAGTGTGAACATAGTTTAATGCACTTTACATACATAAGAGGAGTTCAGAACATTGCACAAAGTCAATAGGGAAAACAGTTCGATCAGTGTGAATGCATATTCAAAACTTTCCTGCAACTGTTAAAAATATTGAATTCTTATAATTCTATTTTTGTACAGTCCTGTACCATTTCCTTTGTTGCATTATGCACAGAACCTGGTGTGTGCGTGTCATTACAATCCTTTAACTTTTGCTACTGTGCAAAGAAAAACAAACCTTGTTCAAACTGCAGAGTTTTTTTTATTGATCAACCTCTTAAACACATCAATACAAAATAAAAACATCAAACAGCACAATCGTTCAGCCTCGTCCTCTGTGTAACAGCACAAGTCACTGTGTACAATGTCACATCTCACATTTACAATATTAAGTAAAAGGTCAGGACATCTCCGCAATGGGAAGCCCTGAACAAAATATTTAATACATGAAAAGCTACTCAAACAAAAGGGGTGAGACTAAAATGACAATGTAACAGCTTAAAAAATGGAATAAAAATCACTGAACAATATTCAAACACACTTTTTATTATAGGACAGCATCCAAGTAATATTGCACAGCATCAAAACTCCAAGCCATCTTCCTTTATAAACAGTGTTCAACTACACAATCCAATCTAAATTTTAAACAGACCCTCTTTCATGGATCTTTAAATTTTGGTTTCTATTATCCCACCATTTCAGCCTAATTAGCCTAAATTTTCCATGTAATCTGGCATCATACCGACCAAGACAATAAGGCTGGGTGATTTCCTCCCAAAATGACAACTGAACCACATGCTAAATAGGTGGTATATTAAATACAGTAAATATAATGAAGGCTAAAGGCAGGCACTCTGTAAACACCTGTTTATTCTTAAAAATATTCTTCACAACCATTTGAACAGAAGGCATCATTAGACTGAATATCACACCAAATCAAGATCTAGAAATAAAAAAACAACAAAAAAAACTGGCATATTAGGTTATACTCCACATTGGCTGGCTATGGAAGATTATAAAAAATAAAATCCCCAAAAACCGACAGATGAAATCCACTGTATTATCACAGGCATGCTTTCAATAGGAAGCAAGTAACGAGCATTCCAGGATCCTCAAGCGTTACGTAGGGGAAGAGGCCACAGATTTGCTAATAGTCAACAGAAGAACTGCACTTCCTACTTCTCTTTACTGTCCAGAATTTAAAACAAGCAACTTAATAGCGGAAGAAAAAACTAAATTTTCTGTACACGGGTCCATCATAAACAGTAGGCAAGGGGTGAGTCAGTAGCTGAGAGGAGACACCACAAGCTTGATCAGAATGTGATGTGATTTTTCGTTCCATGAGTCAATGAGCAATGCCTTAATTGGTGTAGTAGTTAAATCCATTTTCCGTATAGGGTTCATCGCTGGAGACTCCGTTGCTCACCTCTGTGGAATAAGACGAAAAGAGGCAATGCAAATTACGCTTAACACCCACAACGTTTACAAGACCTCCACTATGACAACCGCAAACCAAGGATCTTCAATCATACTTGAGATACACCGGCTCTGTTCCAAACCCTAGTGAGCTGCCTACCTCGACAGCATTTTATTAGGCATCATAGGTGTGATTCTGATGTGAATTAGTTATCACCACCCTCATACTCACCATACGCAGGGCACAGTTACCCTGGTCATTGATGCTACAGCCCTGCATGAGCTACCATTCAAGCTGTGGGATGTCAGCAGAGTATGGATTGATGGATGAATGGATGCAGGAAGAGACGGGATGGTGGCAGACAGTGAGAGACAGGAGGGAGAGGGAGAGATGGAATGGGATGAAGGGATGCAGTGACACAGACTCAAACCCAGGAGGTGGACAGTTACTGTGGCTGACCTTAGAGACAGGGCAAAAACACACACAGAGGCATGCAAACACTGTTGGGACACATGCACACACAATTTTAATCCAAAAACACATTGCATGCAACCCTTGTAGAGTCAACTGGACATTAATCATGAAATAACCCCTGACAGAGGGATCTTGTGTCGCTCTGAAGAAGCATTATTATTTTGTGATAATGAATGTTGGCTGTACATTATTCCACTTATTACACAGCTACTTATCAAATAAACACATCACCTGTTGTTCACCAGTGGACCCTCTGCAGTGAATGGGTGCCATCAGAATGAGAGTTAATAAAAACACAATAATCCACACAACTTCAGTCCATCAATTAACGTCTTGTGAAGTGAAAAGCTGCCTGTCTATAAAACAAAAATCAAACAAGTCCTCCATCCATAATATTGCTTCTTTCATTTCACAATTGATGGACTAGAGTCGTGTTTCTGACGGCACCCATTCACTGCAGAGGAAGAGACGAGATCATTGGTGGGCAAGTGATGTAATGCTACATTAGAATCTGTTCTGATGAAGAAACAAACTCATCTACAACGTCATTGGCCTGAGGCTGAGTACATTTCCAGCACATTTTCATTTCTGGGTAAACTATTCCTTTAAAATGAATACTGAAGTCCTTCAGTTTTGAGTCACTAATGGCACTAATGAGCTTTTCTACCTTCTTGGTATGAAAAGGGAGACATTGTGGAGTAATATATGAGACATGAAAATTATTTTGCCATGGACAAGCGTGAAATATGTAGTTTAGTGATTATTATACAAATATTTGATTGACCAATCAGAATCAAGTATTTCATAGCGCAGCGTAATAAGCTTACATATAGCACTTCAACATGCAATATAAGAAACGCCAAAAGGATGTGGTTTGGTGGCTCTTACCAGAGAAGATGAGCTTCTCCTTCATGATGTTGACATCTCTGCTGGCTCTCCTGACGGCTGCACTCAGCATGATCTGCTCTGGGTTGTAGCTACGCATCCCGCTCATTCTCCACCTGTGATCACGTGCAGGTGCACACACAAACACAGACCGACCTTAGTGACCATATTCAAACAGAGTTTACATTGATGCTGCTGATTCTCCTGATAAAATATATGCATTTTTAACTCATGAAGCTCACAGGAATTCATTCATGTCATTGGTAAATATATACAGTGTATTTACACTACCTTTCAAAAGTTTGGGTTCAATTACTTTTTTTTATTAATGCTATAAATTGATCAAAAGTGATGGTAAAGACAACTATTATATTACAAAAGATTTATATTTCAAAATGAATCTGTTCTTTTGAACCTTCTATTTATCAAATAATCCTGAAAAAAATGTATTACAGTTTCAACAAAAAATATGTAGGTACTTTTTTCAACACTGATCATAATAAATGTTTCTTGAGCAGCAAATCAGCATATTAGAATGATTTCTGAAGAAACATGTGACACTGAAGACTGGAGTAATTGCTGCTGAAAATTCAACTTGGCCATCACAGGAATGAATTATGTTTTAATATTAAATATATTTATATTCAAATAGAAAAACAGTTTTAAACTGTAACAATATTTCACAATATTATTATTTTTACTGTATTTTTGATCAAATAAAGGGACATCTTTCAAAAAGAAAAATGACCAACCCCAAACTTTTGAAAGGTATTGTATGAATAATATTCTAAACTCTTAAGATTTTAGATTTATGTATGAACTAAAAACAAAGCTGTTAATCTAAAGTTATAGTGACCATCTGTTCAAATTACCCTAAATTACAATGTATGTGCTTTATTATTTATTTAATTAATTAATTTATCTTTTAATCCGACACCATCTGTCAAAACTGACATTTTGGGGTGTTTTTTGGTTCAAAACAAAAGCATTTGAATTAAACTGGATAGCTGGTAGGAATATAGATAACGTTAACCTTAAAAGCAAGTGTAAATTATTTTCGTGGAAAAAAAGCACTCTTCTGCAACAGTAGAAAATTATTCTCTGACTGAAACAAAAACCAGCTAAATAATCTGTAACTGTCAGTCATGTGATTGTCACCCCCTAGTGGATAAATACGGAATGATTTAGCAAAACCCTCAAGTATACTTCCTTAATCCAAGTCATTCCACATAATGTACCTCAATTAAATATTAATTATATGTTAAATGATAAGCAGTGATATTAAAGTGTAATCATGTGGGCTGTGGTTTAGTGAGAAGAATTAGTAATAGCATTGACAAAATACGGGTAGAATGAAAGATACAGGCAGACAGATTGAAACAGGTTTATACAGAGAAAGAAGGGCAAGAAAGGGGAGTTATAGACTGGCAGCATGGGCCAACAGCGCTGACCCAATTACCTGATCATGTGATAGCTGAGAGATGCCAGAATGCAGCAGAGAAGAGGAGCATGCACATCAGGCAGAGAGCAAGAAGAAGAGGAGGAGAGGTGGAAGAAAGGGTACAAGAGCAAAAGAAAGGGAGAGAATTAAGAGGTCAGTTCAGAAAAGCAGATGCAACTGTCACTATGGCAAGCGCAGCATACGTAGAGGATCTAGAGCCCCACATAACATTGAGTTTTCAATTCACATATTTACCAGTCATGTTGATTTCCAACATTAAAGGGGTCACATGATGCGATTTCAATTTGTCCTTTCACTTTGGAGTGTTACAAGCTCTTGGTGCATAAAGAAGATCTGTAAAGTTGCAAAGACTAAAGTCTCAAATCCAAAGAGATATTCTTTATAAAAGTTAAGCGTTAACCACGCCTACCTAAAACTGCTTCTTTCTAACACGCCCCCACATATCTACATCACTATGTGGGAAGATTTGCATAACACCGCCCAAATGTTCACACAAAGAAAGAAGGAGTAACTTTTATTCTCGCTGTAATATTGTTGCCGCCGCAGTGAAAAAGTGAAAAGTGACGTGACATGTGGCCAAGTATGGTGACCCATACTC